CTACTTCTCTAAAAATAGCTAAAGTCCTTCCGATCTTTAAAAAGGGTGACAAGCAATCCATTTCTAACTATCGCCCCATCTGTATTCTTTCTTCCCTGAGCAAAGTCATCGAAAAACTGTTAATAACTCGGCTAAACAAGTACCTTAATAAATTTAATATACTGAAGCCCTGTCAATTTGGCTTTCGCGCTGGAAGTTCTACTAACCTTGCTATTCTTTCCCTATCAGACTTCATCAATCACTCTATAGACGCAGGATTTGTAGTAGGGTCAGTTTTTTTAGACTTCACAAAGGCATTCGATACCATCAATCATCTCATTTTATCCAAGAAACTCGAATCATACGGTATTACAGGTCCAACCCTCAAATTTTTAAACAGTTACCTCCTTAACCGAAAGCATACTGTTTACATATCGGGCTCATTTTCTTCTACTAAAACAATAAATCAAGGGGTTCCTCAAGGGTCATTACTGGGTCCGTTACTTTTTTTACTTTACATTAATGACCTTCCTGACATTATACACATGGCTCACTGCGTTTTATATGCTGATGATACCACCATTTCCATTGCTGATAGATGTATTGACAATGTTACTAATAAATTAAATGCTGTACTTTGTAGTGTGTCAAAGTGGTTCCAGGAAAATTTCTTAATCATTAATCCAAATAAATCTAAGTTTATGGTTTTTAGATCAGCTCAACGCAAGTTAACTTCCCCACCACAGCTCACAGTTGACTCTCATTTGATTAATATCAGCGACAGTGTATCTTTTCTTGGCGTTCACCTCGACGCGAACCTTAACTTCGCTCTCCATATTGCTCACATTAGAAAAACGACAGCATTCGGCATTCGCGCATTACTCAAAGCTCGCTCATATTTTTCTCATAAAGCACTCCTTTCACTTTACTTCGCATTCATTCATTCTCATATCACTTATGGCATCGCATCTTGGGGGAATACACACCAGTGTCATCTTTCATCCGTACAATATCTACAAAATCGAGCTATTCGCGCTATTTTTAACTGTTCTCGTGACAGTAGCGCCACTCCCCTTCTTCAATGCAATAAAATCCTAAATGTTAACTACCTATTCAGGTTTAATCTAATTATGTTTTTGCATAAACAAATAAGAAATCAACTTTCTGCTAACTTCATTGATCCTAAAATGTTGGTTAATACTAACACTACCAGGTTTGCGGCTAATAATAACTTTTTACTTCCTAAGGTTCGTACTAACTATGGTAAATCATCTTCACTCTTCTGTACCATCACCATATGGAATAATTTGCCAACTTCGCTAAAATGCAAAGTTTCTTTATTTTCTTTTAAAAACTCATTAAAAGAGTACCTGTTAAATAGTTGATCTATCATCTTGTTTGTGTTGTTTTATGCTGTATTATTCGTTTTTTGATTCCATGCCTTTTTGTTTTCATTCTGCTTTACATATTTTTGCTTATACGATTCTAACAGCTGCTCACGCTTTTATTATTTGTAATGATCACCGAGGGTCCCGTTGCAGTCTTGTACTTTGGGACCCTCTTCTGTATATTTTACTCCCTGTAACATCCTTTTATGACATGATAATAAACTGATTGATTGATTGATTGATTGCTGCTAAGAAAACCTTCTATGATGTTACACTGACTGGTTTTATGAGGAACGATCCACACTGTGTTTGGCGGGATTTGTCACTAGACAACAAGGGTCCTAGCGACGTTGTCGTTAATGATGAACTTGTGACTGAATTCTCTCGTAATGCAACTTGTTTTTATACCTTTTTTGCATTCTGATTTTACTGATAGTTTTGCAAATGATTTTTCACCGTTTGCGCTACAATCTACATACATTTCAACAATGCCTGAGATAGAGGTGTCATATGAAGGTATTGTAGCACTTTTGCTTAATAATAAAAATAAGATATTCATAGGTCCTGAAGGTATACGAAATGCGTTTTTACGCAGGCAGTCAGAATGGGTTGGACGCTATCTTGAGAATATATTTAAGGCATCGCTAGAACAGAAACGAATCCCAGATGATTGGCTAGTCGCAAAAGTTGCTTCAGTACACAAATCAGGTGGAAAGCAAGACATAGTAAACTACCAGCCTATTTCATTCACTTGCGTGTTCTGCAAGCTTCTGGAGCACATATCAAAACCAATCTACAGTTATCTTGAAAACAAGAGGGCGTTTTTTCTAATCAGCACGGCTTTCGACGGAACTTATTCACTGTTACACAATTGGTAGAAACAATTATGACTTTTCAACTGCTCTAGATAACATAAAATAGATAGACGCTATAGATATATATTTATCAAATGCTTTTGACCGTGTTGTGCACACCAACGTAATAAGTGAGCTAATGGAAATGACTATAAATTAAGAAGTTGTAGCGTAGATCCGCTTACACCTCACATGTCGGACACAATACGTCGAAATAAACGGCAACAAATCGTATCTGCTAAACATAAGTTCAGGCGTACCACAGGGATCCGTTTTGGGACCCCTACTTTTTTATTTACATAAATGATATTGCTAATGACTTAAGTGACGACATAACCCCCCGGTTCATTTATTGATCGATATGTGGGGTTTAACGTCCCAAAACCACCATATGGTTATGAGAGACGCCGTAGTGGAGGGCTCCGAAAATTTCGACCACCTGGGGTTCTTTACGTGCACCCAAATCTCACCACATGGCCTTACAAAATTTCCGCCTGCATCGGAAATGCAGCCGCCGCAGCCGGGATTTGATCCCGCGACCTGCAGGTCAGAAGCCGAGTACCTTAGCCACTAGACCACCGCGGTGGGGCATAACCTACAGGTTGTTCGCAGATGATTGCTTGATATACCGCGAAATCAATAACCAGAATGATCAGGCGTCACTTATGCAAGCTCTTAGAGCTATAGAAAGATTAGCCACTAGATGACGAATAAAAATCAAATAATTCAAATCAGTTATGCTCAGAGTTACGAACAGAAAAAAACATGTATTTAAATGTCAATATTAGATGAATACCACAGGTGTAATCGAAGCAGACTCGATAAAATACCTAGGCCTAATCATTTCAAATGACTTAAGTTGGAAACCACACGTGAACAGCATTTGTGCAGCTACAAAAAAAAGTTATGCTTTTTTCGTCGCAAACTAAAGCTAGCAACACTACCCATTAAGCTGGTTGCATATTTTATCTGCGTAATGCCAACGTTAGAATACGACAGTGCAGTGTGGAATCCCTTCCAGTCGGGGATAATAAATCAAATTGAAAAATATATAGAGAAAAGCCGCAAGGCTAATTTCATCGTGTTATAATAAAATGACTCGGTTTCTGAAATGCTTTGGTAGCTCTAATGGCCTACGCTGGCTCAACGCCGGAAAGTCGATCGTTTTAAATTTATTTTTTTGTTATCAAAAGGACACATCAATATTGAAGCTAAACCTTATATTGTTCCCAGGTCCTCCAGCAATGTCAGATCCTGATATCAATTTTTGCATTCGCTTCCAAAATGCAATATTGATGTGTATGTGTATTCATATTTTTTCCACGAACGATAAAAGAGTGGAATCAATTGCCAGTGTCGGTACTGAATTCCAAGAGCATAGAAAGCTTGAAAAGTGCATTAAAACTATGTTGTGAACACTGAGTGTTGCTATAGTATTGTACATATGTTGCCATGCTGTTCGATAATAAATCGTGTAATTACTTCATATTGGATACTATACCACCATCGCTATATATGTATGTACGTTCGTATTAATAGCGTTCTTTCTCTGAGTATATTTATAACTTTCCTTTTCATTACAATATGTTGTACTTGTTTTTGATTTATGTTAAGATTTATTGTGCTTACCCTGTTACGGCCATAACGGCCAACAGTACTTGGAAAATACAAAAAATGGAATTCAAGCAGAAAAAAATATTTGCTAGGTGATAAATGCGTAAGCACCTCATCGGTTGCTTTATCACACGCAGAGCGTGATTACCTGGCTAGGCTTTGAGGCAATAGATGACCCGTAACACGTGCCTTGATACTGACGCATTGAATACGCTTGTACTTTATCTTCATGTTCTGTAATCATTCTTTTTTAGGCAGATATATTCTTACCACAATGTTAAAAAAAGTTAGTTGGAAGTCAGCGCTGTTTCTGTCTGCCCTGTCCTTTTTTTTATGAAAAAAAAACTTTCAAATATGACTACTCACCATGAGCCCAAGCTTCACCTTTTGTGACTTACAAGATTACTTTGCCGATGTGTAGCATTCTCACCTCCCATCGTGACCGGTCAGTTCACTTCTGCTTTCACGCGCGCTCTTTTTTTTTCGGGAGACAACTCAGCAGGACGCAACAAAAAGGGATGAAGCGGCCGTGCCCTGGCAAAATAATGACGGGTAATTGATATAGACCGTTTGTCGTGACTGGTGAGATGGCGGAAAGGGCAAACAGGCGCGCTAGTCTCGCCGTAGAGTTACTGTATTGCCCCTTTTGGTGATTGCAAAGAAACCGCGTGAGCGTCTTTTTGGTGATCTCTCGACACTTCCGGTTAAAGAAGTTCCACCCGACCGGCTCCTGTCTCAAGCAACCATTCCCATGCAAACACGCCACATGCGCTGCATTGCTGATGTTTTCTTCATAACATATGCGTTATCGTTTGCACCTCAGCACTGCCTGATGACCATGAGAAGTGGATTTGAACGTTTAATGCTGCATTTTCCAAAATAAGAGCTGAAGCCCTGGCCTCTGCTCAGGGCTGTCAGTGAGCCGAATTCGCAGGGCCCGAGACAGCCACGCTGAGGACAAGAACCACCTTTAATGCACGACACAAAATAATCACAAACTGCTTTCTGGACCTGCTCAGCACGGCATAACGCACACAGGAGGACCACAAGCCCAGAGCAATCAATCACCGCAGATTGGCGGTCAAGGGAGCATACGCAGCAAAACAATGGCAGGAAAACCAGCATGAAACATTGCAGCAGGAAATAAAACACAGGTGCCACTCACCGTAGAATACGCGCCATTGACTCGCCTTATAGCCGTCACCCCCAAACCGGCGAGGCTTCTCTGTAGCACGCACGGAAGAAACACCCTCGTGCTTCGTTCGATGGATGCCGTATCCCATCGCTCACCTGCCACAAAAAAAAAAAAACAAAAAATGGCTCGTCTCGCTTCCGTCTTATCTGCCAGCTACTTTTCTGCCCCCTTTGGATTTTTTGGATGCTGACGATCGTCCCGCGCATGTTCAATGCGCATGTGCTCTGCTCACCCTACTTCTACCGTGGGTCCTACAGATCAGGGCCCATCGGCCCGACAATCCTTCCCCCCCCCCCCCCCCCACACACACAAGGACGGACACTCCACTGAGCGTCATAGTGCACAGACTACTATAGGCAATAATAAACACTATAAAAAATACAACACAGTAATCTAAGAAGCAATCCCTGATACGTGCACACAGGTTGTCGGGCGCTACAACACTGCATTATTATACGCGTGTCCATGTCGACGCAGTTTTTCAGGCACCACAACACATCAGCACTCGTCGCAAGTCTTTGTCATGAGTTGCACCGTACGAAACCTGCGCACACGTCACGCATCACACCACCATTCGTGGCCAGACTTTGCCCTTTGGTTGCACAGAATGGAACGTCCACGTAGCGTGTGTAGATATTCACAGCAGCCTGTGCCGGCCAGTGAAAGCCACCAACATTGTTTAAAGGTTTATGTGGACGCGCTCAGTAATGCTGGCCTGAGAGTGGTAAGGCGTCGTTTTTTTGTGTTGTACAACAAAAACTTTGCAAGTGTTCGCAAATATCTACCTGTGAAATATGTGGCAATGTCTGTTATCTGAAAAACTAAGCGAGTGAACGTCTGCAGCTGAAAACCCTAAATTATTTTGAATCAAACCGGCGTGATGGGTACAGCTATACCCATTTCGAAGAATAGTCAGTAACTACGAACAAGTACCGACACCCCTTAGGTGATTTCGGGTATGAGCACATTGCGTCACAGGCAACGATTTTCCATGGTTACCTGCTTTCCACAGATTGCATGAGGCCCGGTGGCTTGCCTCTGCTCAGTTTGGCAGTCTAGCAGGTAGGGCAAGTGCGAGCGTATGTTATCACGTTCTTTTTCATGTGCGGCCATGTGGCAACGCGACACAACTTTTAAAAAGTTCTCTTGCCATCACTGTGACCAGCGAGGTGTGTACCGTGAAAGTACACTAAGAAAGTTTTGCGTAGAGTCCGAGGAATGAAATCGCGGAACGGGGATTCCTCATTCTGCGTCTCAAGTGAGAATACGCAACGCAAGAGGAGGCTGTGATCGGCTTGCAAGTAGCTGCCATGAGCGTTCGCAGCCCATGTGTTCCCGGTGGTGCTGGCAGCGCCCAGGCCACTGCATATCTGCTTGCACTGGTTGTCACTTCTCTAAGCCCCAAGGTGTTGCCGTAATTAGACCAGTGTCCTCCAGGAATTTTCAGACACTGTAACGATGAGGGCCTCGGTGGCTGCTTTACTGTCCCCGGACAGTGGCGCTCGGGAAAGCAGGTAAGCCACTTTGTTGCTGGTGCCTTCCTTGTATTCCAATCTGTAGTTATACATCTGAACAAAAAGAGCCTGCCAGCTCAAACGACTGGATGGATTTTGGAGCTTTGATAGCCATCACAGCGTCTGGTAATTGACTTGAATCGTAAAGGCAGCTCCGTCCAGATATGGGCAGAATGCCTGCGGTATGTCCCAATGAGTATTTTGAAAAGGCTCTGAAAGGCCACTTTTTTAGCTTTCGCTTTGACTGTGGTGCATCTTCCATGCAGGCCTGGCATTTTTTATCGGAGGCTCAAATTTCACACGAGCGAATTTTGCCGTGCACTTTGAACTGCTCTTCCGTGGAAGGCGTTGGCCGACTTTTTACGGCACCATGCCGCTAGCGTGAGCTCGCCTTTACACGCTAAAACATTGCAGGTGCCGAGCAAAGACCAAATGGCGTGACCTTGAAATCGAAAGGGCCGTCTGGTGTTATAAAGGTGGTCGTCTCTCGATCTCTCTCATCGGCCTCGATTTGCCAATTGCACTCTTGAAGTCTATCAAAGAAAAGTAAAATCAATCGGTTGGACAATGAATACAAGTATCATTTCAGGTAATTTGTTATTTCAAAAACTGAATAAGATGTTCTGGCGCATGCATCTTTTTTTTTTCATTTTTGCAATTGTGTCATCTCATCGCCTTCTGGACTGTGTATACACAATCTAAGAAAAAATCCAGCTCAATGGGCTAACAACCTCAACTTTAGTCCTCAAATCGTTTTGTTAGTCCACCAAAAGACCAAGCGTGATGTAGAGAGTGTCGTGTGCGAATTCGGAAGACTAACAAGAGGCGAACGGCTTACATACTCCATCGGGTAGGGGCAAACTGGTTGAAGGAACGAAAAGACGCTCTTTCTACAGCCCTTGTTGTGTGGACGGCTCAGCAGCCTTTCGAAGGTCTGGATCTCAGTCAAGTGCGCCTTATTTTTCTTAACTCACCCTTCTACGTTGACGGCGTGATCGCAGCGCGAAGTGCCCCACCGCGGTGGTCTAGTGGCTAAGATGCTCGGCTGCTGACCCGCAGGTTGCGGGTTCGAATCCCGGCTGCGGCGGCTGCACTTCCGATGGAGGCGGAAATGTTGTAGGCCCATGTGCTCAGATTTGTGTGCACGTTAAAGAACCCCAGGTGGTCAAAATTTCCGGAGCCCTCCTCTACGGCGTCTCTCATAATCATATGGTGGTTTTAGGACGTTAAACCCCACATATCAATCAATCGCAGCGCGAAGTGGAAGACTGAGAAGTGAAAATGTGGCAAATGCAAGTTCAGGAGTTCAGTGAACTCATAACAAGGCTCCTCAGCCTACTTACAGTTACGACGAAGAAAATAACGCGAGAAAAGAATAATTTGTCGAAGAATACTGCGCCGACCATTATAATGATTTCAAACGTAGTTAAATTAGCTTCACAATATTTACTAACGGTGACAATTGCGCAAGCCTGACGGACTTTCATTTGAGCGCGTATATTGTATATCGGAGCAGCGATGGCGCGGTGGTTCGAGCATCCGCCTCGCATGCAAGATCTCCGTGGCTCGAATCGCGGTGCCACACAGTTCCCAACTGGCTGGTAAAAACTCCGCGTGGTGATGGAACTTCATTAAGAGTCCTGGGGTGCGGCCTCACCAGTGACCACCGCTGGTAACGTACTCCATCACCAGAGACGGATTGGCCATCGGGTGCAGTATCTGGCAACTACCTCCCACATGCATACGTCAAATAACTCACGGCTCTCAGTCCCCAGCAGCTGCGAAGCAACTCACTACGGCGGCGGTCAGATCTGCAACCCAGCAGAGGGTGCTAAGAGTCTATGGATCCGGACAGGCCGCCGTTGGAACCTGAACTTGGCAATGTTTAACGCTAAAACCTTATCTAGTGAGGCAAGCCTTGCTGTACTATTCGAGGAGCTAGAGGGTGGTAAATGGGATATAACAGGACTCACTGAGGTTAGGAGAACAGATGAGGCCTATACGGTGCTACAGAATGAGCACGTTCTTTGCTATCGGAGCTTGGCTGACAGAAGAGAACTGAAAATAGGGTTCCTTACTCACGGAAACATAGCTGGCACCTTAGAGGAATACTATAGCATTAATGAACGGGTGGTAGGTATTGTAATTAAATGCAGTATGAGAGGCAAGATGAAGGTGGTACAGGCTTACGCGCCTACTTCCAGCCATGATGACGCTTCAGCTGAAAGCATCTATGAAGACGGGGAATGGGCAATGAGTAAGGTAAAACCACAGTATACTATACTGATGGGAGACTTTAATGCAAAAGTAGGGAAGAAGCAGGCTGGAGACCAGGCAGGAAGATTATGTCATCGGTACTAGAAATGTTAGAGGAGAGCTACAAGTAGAATTCGCAGATCGCAATAATTTACGGATTTTGAATACCTTATTCCAAAAGAAGGAAACCGTAAGGGGCCATGAAGGAGCCCTTGTCTAAAATAAGAACTGTATAGACACCCATTATAATGAGTGCCCACCCAGGCATCGTTCAGGATGTGGAAGTGCTTGGCAAGGTACGATGCAGGGACCATGGAATGGTACGGTCTCGAATTCACCTAGACTTGAAAAAAGAATGACAGAAACTGGTACGCAAGAAGCAAATCAACGAGCTAGCACAGAAAGGAAAAGAGAAGAAATTCAGTCTCACTTCATAACAGGTAATCTACTCTTATGTAGGAAACTAGCCTTAGCGTTGACGCAATGAATGACAATCTGACGAGTATCATTACGGAGTGTGCAGTGGAAGTTGGAGGTACAGTGCTTAGAGAGGACACCTGCAAGCTGTCCCAGGAAACGAACAACCTTATTAAAAAGCGCAAAAGCACGAAAGTATCAAGTACAACAGATAAAATAGAACTGGCAAAGCTTTGGAAGTCGATTAATAAGCGTAACGTATTTGATGCAACAAAGTATCACATGGAGAGAATTGAACACACTCTGAAAAACAGAGGAAGCATCAAAGCACTGAAGAGGAAACGTGGGATAGGCAGAAATCGTATGTATGCAATAAGGAACAAAGAAGGCAAAATAATTACCAATATGGATAGGATAGTTAAAATAGCAGAGGAGTTTTACTGAGACCTGTACAGTAGCCAGGACGACCCCGACCTTAATACTATAGCAACTAGCAGTAACCCAGATGACACCACACCAGTAATAATGGAAGAAGTCAGAAAAGCTTTGGAGAGCATGCAAAGAGGTAAAGCTGCTGGTGAGGGTCAGGTAACATAAGATCTGCTGAAAAATGGAGGACAGATTGTGTTAGAAAAAATAGCCACCCTGTTTACGAGGTGACTCTTGACGGGAAGAGTACCAGAGTCTTGGAAGAATGCTAACATCATCTTTATACAAAAGAAAGGAGATGACAAGGACTTGACTAATTACAGGCCGATCAGCTTGCTCTCCGTAGTATAAACGGCTATTTACAAAGGTAATTGCTAACAGAGTTAAGAAAACATTATAATTGAATCAACCAAAGGAACAAACAGGATTTCGAACAGGCTACTCAACAATCGACCACATTCATA